ACAGGTTCCATGAGGGCTGGGAATTTCACCTGCTTGGTTCACCACTATAACTCTAGTGCTAAAAATAGTCGCTGGTAAATACTAATGGGTGCTCAATAAATATTTGCTGAAAGAATAAGTAAAGCAAGAAATACCTATTTTTACACTAAGATGTGTCCCAGACACCAATTAAGAAAGTGTCTTAAGGGACTTCCCTGGCAGTTCAGTGGTTAAGTTTTCGCTTTCCAATGCAGGGGGTGCAGGTTCGATGCCTGGTCAGGGAGCTAAGATCCCACATGCCTCGGGGCCAAAAAACCAGAACATAAAACAGAAGCGATATTGTAACAAATTCAATATAGATTTTTTAAATGGTCCACATTAAAAAAAATCTTTAAAAAAAAAGAAAGTGTCTTAAGAAGGTGGGTATAACCAATTGTGGCAAATGATGATAAATCAAATAAAATTAGAACAGAGAATTGACCACTGGATATAGCACTGTGGAGGTCACTGGTGACCTTGACAAGAGTTGCTAGGGTGAAATAGAACAGAGCTAAGACTGAATGGGAGAAAAAGAACTGAAGATAGTGAGTACAAACAACTTTTTCAGATATTTTCTCTTAACATAAGACGATTGCATATGATGTTACCTCATCTCAAAATGCTATGCCTTCACTCATTTCTTCTGATGACGACTTCTCTGTTTTCCTTAAAGATCCAGGCAGCTTACGTATTCTATTCACTAGGTAACATCACTGTAACTGTTATGCGCCCATGTACATACCACTATCCACAGTACACATAGTATTCTAAGTGATTCTTTACTTGACTGATAGTGTCTTAAACTCCTAATACGTTAAAGCTGGGATCCTTCCACAAAGATGTTCAATAAATATTTCTTTGATGAGTGAAAAGACCTTGAAAGAACAGTAAGTTAATAGTTTCTAAGAAACTATTCTTATTTCTTAATAGTTCCTAAGAAACTATTACTTCTTAATAGCTTCAAAGAATTTATTTACCATGTTTTCCTTAATTTATATCCAAATATATTTTACTAGTTATCTATATATTAGACACTATAAAATAATAAAGGAAAAATTATTATAACACAAATGTAAAATTTGTCTTTTCCCCAAGTAAATAATAAAGATACATTTAATGTACATTTATGACAATTTGAACTATTATTCTGGATAATTCAAACCTTTGACTGAAAACATCTTAATTTTATCTCTTAAACTGTGCAGTATTTGAAAAACAACCATAAATATTTTGATATCCAAGTACATAAAGTGAAATCTTACAGAACAGAATTATTAAATAGTCTGTGAAAGTTCAGGTCACCAATTCTAGTTACTTAAACACAGGGACATTTTACTAAATCTGTATGTAATCTAATACTTTCTGAAGTATTGCTTCTAGATATTACACAATGCTTAAGAAAATTCTGGTATCAGGTTTGAGGGCAGGGTTTCTACCCATTTCTCAAACTGCTTATTTAAGAATTCTATGCGTGCATGTTTTGCGATACAGATTGGCAACATGTTTCCTAAACAGAATCATCTGGGGCACTGTTTGAAAAACAAATTTCTGGGATCCAGCTCTAGAGGATTCTAGCTTAGCACATTTGATGAAAAGGCTAGAAACTGGCAAAAAGCTCCTTAAACTGGCAAAAAGCTCCTGATTCTGTTGATCAGTCAAGTTTGGGAAATATTGACCATATATCTGGAAACATTAAGTAGACAACAAGTAGGTTTGCAGCAATTCCTGCCAGACCTTAAAAAGTTGCTACCCTCAACCCATAAACACAAAAAGTACTGATCCACCATGGAGACATCATACATTCTGAAACGCTTTTTCAAGACAATTTTGATTTGTGTTGAATAAATGAAATTTCCATACTATAAATACAGAGCTGTTAAAAACCACTTTTACTAGATCATGATGAAGCTTGATCAGTTTTCTTTCTTCAAAACACCACCTACCACAATTGAAGAGCTACTACACCTTTCATTTTGTCTAAAGGAAAAAAAAGTAGTAACAAAATGCACCAAGCTAACTACATTCCATCAATGGTCTTCACTGGTGATATATGACTTGAAAACTATCAATAACATTCACTACTTCAAGCACAAACTTGTCAAAAATGTGTTGATGGGTAGTATCTAGAAAAAATTAATTTTAAAAGCTATTGTATCCTTTGGGAAGACAGCTGGCAAAAGTTTCAAAATATAGACCAAGCTACAGATGTTCATCGTATATTAAAACTACTAGTAGTCTATTTTATAACTTAGTCTTAAGCCTGTAATAAACACTTAATAACTAGAGAATTTTATCAATATAACTTGGGACACAGGAAAAAAAACCATTAAGAAAGAAAAAGTGACTCTAAAATTCCTGTGTTATTTCTGACAGTGAAACTAATTTCTACATAAGTCAGTAATACTGAAATAAATATAACTAAAGGACAAATTACTATATATATACATACCTAATAAAAAGAAGTAAGACAACTACATGCAACACAGACAAAATGATAAAGTCATGTGGCACCACCATTGGCAATGCCAGATGTAGTAAGATGATAGAACTGGTAAGCAACTGATCATTATTTAGTCTACAACCAATATGGCACCTACACTTTCAAAACCTAAAGACAACGACTTGCTCATTCTGGTATAGTCAGCTTCAGACTAAGTTATATTCAATTAATATGTTTTACCTAAGTTTCAACCAAGTATGAAAACAAAACAGATGATAAAAACTATACTTTTTACTAATAAGGCTAACGTTACAGCAACAGTTTTCCACCATGCCATCACATTTATGAATATTACATTTTCTGCTGTGACAGAATTGAAAAATTACTGGAGTAGTAACTATATTTGTATTTCAAACACTGAATTGAAACAAATTTGAAAGCTTTGAACATTTTCCTGATCTATTTCATAAACAAGAATGATCTCTACCATTATTGTATGAAACAAAATTTCCAAAACAGTTTGAGTGATTTCTAAGTTATAGTCTTAGTACTGTACTAAATTTGTGCCACAATTTCAGGATGCTATATATTCAGATTTTACTACCCCATTGAAATTTTCAAGAAAACTTTTTATTGTTATAAATTATTTTAAGGGTGAATCCTTTGCATAAAATCATAAGCAAGTATCCAATTATGACAAAAATTAGAGTAATCTCACTTTTGAAACACGTTGAGATACTACATATATGGTTGTGCAACTAGGTATATATTATATACCAAAGGAAGGCAAAGCATCACCTCCTTACAATTTACTGAAACACAATTATAAAAATTCAAGCGGTGTGACATAATATAGCTTCAAATTACTGCTGGAAGAATAAACAAAACATCATTTACCCCATCAAATAAATCATATCTAGTTTCAGAAGATCTTCATACCATATTGCTCTCAACTACCAAGTAGTAAAAACAACAGAAGTGCACCTCAAAATCCTTCACACCTACCTACCCCACCTACTGAATCGAACCTAAGAGACTGACTATCTGGAGGAGGGCTTCAGTCAAGGCTTCTTCAACTATATAAGGCTACTATCCCCTGAACTGTCAGAGAACTAACACATGGAAAAGAAGAGAGAAACGGGGAAGGATCAGGGAAAAAGACAAAGAACTGGGGTAAATTCTACTCTTGGGGTGAATAACAACAAACTGAACACAAAACACTATCTCATTTCCTACTCCACAATCTCAGCTTCTGGTCTCCTTATCTTTACTCCATCTTGCCCTACCTATTGTTTGTCCTAGGCCTCCTTTTCCCTCTTACAGAGCATAAACGTACAGACCTGCAAAATAGAAGATCTTCTTTATTTACAGAATTTAAGTGCCAGAGTTTTTTGCCTACAAGACATCAAACCATGATACTGGATTTGAAATGCACAATTTAAATCCTGTGGAAAACAGACATGGGGATAAAACTGAGTAACCAAATCCAATCATAGAATCTCTTTTAAAAAACCCAGAAGAAGCAAGCACAAGTGCGCGCCCACACACACACAAACACACACATAGTCTCAAAATGTTTTAAAACACATTCTCCATCATCAACGACAAATATACTGTGCTTGAGACAATAATCAATGGACAAGAATAATTTCTGCAGCTTTTAACTTTATTTGCCACAAAAGTTCTGCTGAGACACTGATTGAAAATTACATTTCAAATACACCGCTCACTAAAGAAATGTAAACAAGCACTGGGACCAACTTTAAGATGCCGCCCACAAAAGAATTAAAATGACGACAAAACTGTGATTTAAGTTAAAAATACAAAAGTATATTTATTTAGCATTGCTTTATTGAAAAGGAAACAGAATTGGAAATCAGAATTATTTTTAGCACCTTCCTCGGATCAAACCTATCCCCAAACTGCCTATAGGTGTGCACATTTTAAAGTCCAATGAATTGTCTGAAGGTTGCCAGGGTTTCTTTTCTATCTGCTGATAACAGCAGGGAGTGAAACCTCAACTAATCATTATGGCCAAGAGATGAGAGCCCTCCAGGATGCCATCCTGGGCGCGCTCCCCAGGACCAGCCTAGAGCTTAGGGGACTTTTATCAGTCCTCTACTAGGTAAAGGACTTCCCTCGGGCGCTTTAAGAATTCGTTGAATAAGAAATCAACGAAGGGATTTAAAGGAGTAAAATGCTACCAAAATAACCTTTCGTACATTTCACAAATTTGATGGAAGAAGAAAGGTACACAGCCAGAAAACCGAGCGCCCAGTGGATAAGCGGACTTGGTGTCACCGCACCGCCCGAGAGGGAGAGACTCTAGAACGCGAAGATGGGGAAAGGCATCTAGAACGCGAAGATGGGGAAAGGCATTTCTCCGGTGTTAACAGGGCGGATTCGGGACCAGATGGCTGTGGGTTTCTCTCCCGGGCGATGCGCCCTGAAGGAGCGGGTCACGGGCACCCAGAAGGACCGGCAAGTGCAAACTCGGCGCGCGGGTCTCAAGGGGACGGCGGCCGCCCCCGCTCCTCCGTACCTGATGATGTCGTCGCTGTGGCCCCGGTAGAACTTCTGCCGGTGCTCCCGCGGGCTGTACACCACGCCGACGCCCGCCACGAAGTACACGATCTCCTTGGCCGCCGTGTAGTAGAGGTTGTTGCGGCACTGGTGGCCCCGGTAGCCGTACACCCACTCGAGCCGCAGGTGGCAGCTCGGGGCGCTCCGGGCCGCCATGTCGGGGCGCCCACCACGCCGTTCCGCTCGGGCCCGCGGCGGCGGCGGCGGCGGGAGACAGGAGGCGGCGGCGTCCGGGCGAAACAAGCCCTCCCGCGGGCGGCCGGGACTCGCCGCCTGCCGCGTCCTCTAAGCCGCGCCTGGCAGGTGCATGTCGCTTCTCCTGCCGCCGCCGGCGCCGCCTCAGCCCACGGGCGGGAGGAAAACCCTAGCCTCGCGGAACATGCTGAGGGCCGCGGGCGCCGCCGGCCGTCAAGAGGGTGCCGCGCGCCCTCTCTTCGCCCACCTCGGTCGCCTTGTCTCCTCAGGCCGCAGCGCCCAAGCCTTGAGCCGAGCCGAGCGAGGGCCCGCCTCCCGCCTCCACGCCTCCGCCGCCGCCCTGGCACCCAGCTCCTCGCCCGGGTCACCTGCGGCGTTCACGTCCCGCCGCGGCCTCGTCCCACAGCCCGGCGGACCCGCGCCGCGCGCCCCCCAGCGCAGGAAAACGGCGAGCGCGCAGCCTCGCGCGGCTCCGCCCCCTCGCCGCCGTCGCAGCCAACGCCCGCGCTCGCCCTGCCCAACCCTGCCCCGCCCCTCCCAGCGGGGGAGCGCGAAGGCGCTGGGTGCTCCGTGGGTACCGTTGCCGGGTCGCGGTTCCCGTCCTCTCGCTCTCACCTAACGTCTAGTCCCGCTATCCTCGGCCAGGACCAGCGACCCCAGCCGCCCTGACCGCGTCCCGCTTAGGCCCCGGCGGGACTCTGGGCCACCCTCGTTCCCTGCTTCTGGGAGGTCTTGCCCGGGAAGCGCCTGTCTCACAAGGCCCCTGAACCCGGCCAGGGCTACGTTTATGCGTGGAAGAATCAACACTAGGATGTTAACCTCATTTTTTTTTTTTTCCTGATACCTTGTGTGCGTGTGTTTTCTAGCTGCTTCGTAGTGCTCACTATACCAAACACTGAGTGGGAATAAAACCTGACTTCCTAAGCGCACATTTTCTTATTTGTATACGTGACCTCAAAGCTTAAAGTAGAATTTAAATCGTAAAATGACACGCCAGATCCAATTTCTTAAGAAATAGCAGTGGTACCTGAATTTTTTAAATTACTGTTTTGAACACCAATGAACTCGATACTTTTTGCATTGCAGTGATGTTGAAAATGTCTTGAGTCATAATTCTGGAGAATGAGCCTGTAAACACAAGTACTGGGAGCGATGACTTCCTCTGTCATTCCCCTCCTCCTCAGTTTTCTAAGTGCCCCCTCTCTCACAGGATTTACCAATACCTGTAAAATAATTTGAAATCCATATTTTAAAAGGTTTTAAATGCAGAATGATAACCATAAGGTTTACAACGAGAAATAATAACTTATAAAATACAAATATGAATCTTTCGTGTCTAAAAAAAATCCGTTTTGATTTCCCTGGGAAATACCAAAACTTGGAAACCTGAGAAAAGCTAGAATAAACTAACATCCTTTTAAGAAATGTGACTGCAAGAGGTGATGATTCCTAGATGGTACCCATACCTTGCAATGGATGTTACCCAATCCATGCTTCTTCAAAGATGCAAATTACCAGTTTGAGACAAGAGGATACCTTTTCAGTTTTGGTTATGACTTCTAGTCTACATGCAGGAAAGAAGGGCCATTTCAGAGGAAGGAATTTGCATAAATGTCATGAAAAGTAAACTCTGAAGGAGTGAGTAGATTTGGTGAGCTCCACCAGGAAGGCTGAAAGTAGAAATCCAATCTGGTGTAGTTCAGAATAATCATCTAACAGGGTAGTGAGGAGCTATGATGCAGGTTGAACTGACTGTAAGAGATTTATACAATTACCAAGCTTTCAGACATTTTTAAAAGTTTATTAGTTTGGTAAAGCAATTATACCCCAATAAAGATGTTAAAAAAAAAAGTTTATTAGTTTTGCTATTCCCAGAGTGATTAGCTATAAAACTGGCAATAGAAAAAATCAATAAACCAATCTATGATAGAAATAGAAAAGAGTTTTATTTGAGCTAAACTGAGGGCAATAGCCTGGGATACACAGATTCAAGAAGCACCTGAATTGTGTTCCACTGGACTACAAAAAGGGGGTGGCGTATAAAGGCAAAAACCATAAAATTACATAAGTTGTTTGTCAAGAATTAGGATGGGAGCTGGCAAGAGGTAAGGGTGCTTGTTAAGCAAGAATTTGTTGGGGTCCGAAATGATTGCAGAGTTACAAGGGGAGACCTTGGGACCATTAGACTGTGGCTGGCAGCTGCTAGCAGATTATTTTGAGAATGGCTGGTGGTGTCCTTGAGACTGATACTATTCAGAAAATTCAAGTTCTAAGAAGTTCTAAGTGATGTACAACATATCTGAAACCACATCCACAATGGCCACCCAGCTCCATTTTGGATGCCTGAACCACAGGTTTTCCATTTTGATTTTTAAATGCATTCTTTTCTTTAATGGTTGAAACAGATGTACAATGCATGTTTAATAGGCCACAAAACAGACTGTTCTAGTTAGCATAAGGTTTAAGTTAAATCATGTATGAGCCAGAATGACTTCCACATACCTCAGTATGTGAAAATTTCTTCCATCAAAACTCTTGTAATGAGGGCAGCCAAAAATTAGAAGGGGGTGGAGAGCAAGACTGGGGGAAATGTGCCACACTCAACAGCTTGTCTTTGGCTTCTGATAACAAGAATCTTAGCAGAAAGCGAAGAGGAATGCAGATTAGGCTTCTGGCACTTGCTGGGACGCAAGAAAGAACTCAGGCTTGAGAAGTGGCTCTGAAGCCATAAAAAGGCCTGTGTGGGGTTCTCTGGACAAAGGCACATACAATTTCTCTTTGTCACATGTATTTGTTTTTTAATAAGAATATGTTTTCTAACTCACTACTGAGTTCCTTGAAAACCCCTGGTGAGAAAAAGAATAAGTTGTGGCTTATTTAAATTTAAGCAGTGAACTTAGAAAAGATGAAATGTTTTGTTGCTGTACAACTGTGGTACATTAATTACTGGTTACATGTAAATTTTATGAGATGTAGGATAATGAGGAATAAGACATACTTTTCTCTATGTTTCGGGCTTTTTCAGTACAATGTCTTATGGATCCCACGATATATATTTAAGTAGTACGCATATTAATAACAGATTGAAATAATTTATTTTTCCATTATCATATTTTCCATTGTAATTTTTTTTTCTTTTGCGGTACGCGGGCCTCTCACTGTTGTGGCCTCTCCCGTTGCGGGGCACAGGCTCCGGACGCGCAGGCTCAGCGGCCATGGCTCACCCGCCCATCCGCTTTGCGGCATGTGGGATCTTCCCGGACCGGGGTACGAACCCGTGTCCCCTGCATTGGCAGGCAAACTCTCAACCACTGCGCCACCTGGGAAGCCCCCATTGCAATTTTTAATGACCCAAGGGTGGAGTGTGAAGGAAAATCATTCTTAATTAAACCATCCTCAACTGACAACTCAAGACCTAAAGAGACAGCTGAGGCACAAGGGTGGCTAAAAAGTAAAACATTCATGAATATTAGAGAGGAGAAAAAAAAAACCCTGATTAGTTCTTACCCCTACAACTTTATATATAATCTGTTATTACTAATGTCACATCAAAAAGCTTAATTAAGCTTTTATTGCTAGATGTGATTTCACCATCTGTACCTTTTGAAAGTAATGCAAATAAGGATGCAGGAGAAAGACCTCCAAATTCTACATATCAACAGGTGGGCATTTTTTAGTCATTTTATTTTATTTTATTTTATTTTGTTTTATTTTATTTTATTGCCATACGACGTGGCTTGTGGGATCTTAGTTCCCCAACCAGGGACCGAACCCCTGGACCCGGAAGTGGAAGCACGGAGTCCTAACCACTGGACCGCTAGGGAATTCCCTTAGGCATTTTAAATATAAGCTACAATACCCATTGGTAATCTATATCTTGAAACTCGAATTCCTAGTATGGGGCTTTATATTCCGAACATTTGAAATATTAAAGTTCAAGCAAATAAATTTTTTGCTGGCTACTACTTTTAGCTACCCTCAGGTCTTTACAAAAGAAACGAAAAGCAAAGTATATAAAGCATAAAAGCCAAAATTCATGCTATTAATTCTAGCTAGCTAATTCAGCCAACTTATGAATTATAATGATTTTTTAATATGCCATCCATAAAAATGTTTCTGTAACCATACCTTTAATTAACCTGTTTTATGTACAGAGCATAACATAGTGCCTGACCCTACAGTAGATATTCCATACATATTTGTCAACCATTAAATACAAAAAAGAAGACATGTGTAGTTATAACAGGTTTCCTCTTAGTTTTATTTTGAATAGTTGAAACTTTTGAAAACTTGAACATTTTTCTGATCTTCAATACTGTATTAGTCAGGACTTTTTTAGTTGTATGTTACAGAAACCCACTCAAAATAGCTTAAGATAAAAATGGAATTTTAATGCCGAAAAGGACTGCAACTAGAACTGGTATCTATGCACTTGGATCCTAGGGCTCAAGAGATAACATCAGAACCAGGTCATCAGAATTAACTCAGTTCTGTTTTCCTTTGGGTTGACTCCATTGCCAGATCAGCAAAATAGCTGCTAACAACTCCAGTTCTACCATCTTATTCTCTCAGCAATCCCTGTGGAAAGAGTATTTCAGCAGTTCCCCTGGAAACTCCTTGACTTCAACCCCATGGACTCTGATTGGCTGACTTGAGATACATGCCCATCCTTGGATCCACAGAGTAGTGCCAGGTGCGCTAAAACCACAGGAAGCAGGAGTGGGAGAGGGGTGATTCTCCCAAGGAAAACTGAAGTGGTATTAACAGAATGAGAAGCAATGGATGCCAGCAGTGGCTATCCAGGGCTGACTTAGAATCTTTAGTGTTCTCCAATCTCCATTTACATAACTAAATACACATGCTATCTAAATTAAAACAAAAACAGGAGTTTGCTAAAAAAAAAATGCAGCTTTAAGACAAGACTTCTTCTAACCAGCTTGTCACCCCAATGGCCTCCTTTTAAAAAAATTCTAAAGTTAGTCCCATATTTAGGGGAGGCAAAAATTACAGATGTTCCCCACCAGTAAACATATTTCCAAATGCCTATTTGATTCCACTTAAAGCCATTCAAAATAGGTGTATAATTGAAGTAAAAAAAAAGTCTCAAACCAAATTATCCTCTTCTACACATCTACACACCTTGCCATCTTCTCTTTCTGTATTAGCAACTTCAGTATTCCCCCAGTTAGGCAGATTGGAAAGCAAAGCAGTTTTCTTTGGTTTCTCACCTCCATAATCAGCAAGCCCTTTTGACTCTATTTTACAAATATCCCTAAACTGCATCCCAATCTCTATGTCTACACCCTCCCAATCTCCATTTGCCATTTAACTTCTAATTATCTTTTCCCAAGATTCTGAAACCCGAGTTATCTATAAAGATCGTGTATCTGATCATGCCACTCCCCTGTTTCAAGAAACTTTTCTAGAAGCAATGAAGGCATCTTGAGCTTTGAA